CTCTGTGTGTATATATAATGCATAACAATATATATAATTATGTGTATTTTAAATATATATAAATATACATATCTTTGGGAAGGTCTTCTTTACTCTGAGGTTATAAAAATATTCTATAATTTTTCTAAGACTTTTTTATTTATTTTTAAAGATTTATTTACCTATTTCAGAGAAGAGAAAGAGAGAGCATGTGCGGGGGGGGGGGCGGGGAGCAGCAGAGGGAGAGGGAGAAGCAGGCTCCCCACAGCAGGGAGCCCGACATGGGCCTCAATCTCAGGACCCCGGGATCATGACCTGAGCCAAAGGCAGACACTTAATGGACTGAGCCACCCAGGTGCCCCTTTTCTAAGACTTTTATGGGATCTTTCTGTCTTACTCTTTAAATATGTAAGTCTTTAAGTTACCTGAAGTTAATTTTGAAGAAAGCTGTAAGAGATATCCAACAGTTGTATTTCCCCGAATGTTCAGTCAGTTGATCCAGCACCATTTCATCTGTGAAATAATCCTAATTTCTTCATTTATTTGCAAGTTACCTTTATCACAAAATCCATGATTATTTAGATCTATATCTGGCCTTCCTTTGATAGTCCATTTATCTGCCTTTGATGTGTATGTTTTATTTTTATTTTTATTTTTTTAAAGATTTTATTTATTTGACAGAGACACAGCAAGAGAGGGAACACAAGCAGGGGGAGTGGGAGAGGGAGAAGCAGGCTTCCCACTGAACAGGGAGCCCGATGCGGGGCTCGATCCCAGGACCCTGGGATCATGACCTGAGCTGAAGGCAGACGCTTAACGACTGAGCCACGCAGGCACCCCTGATGTGTATGTTTTAATATTTCATAGGGCTTACTCCCCCTAATTACTTTTTAAAATTTTTGTCCAGCTATTCTTATTTTTCCAAATATAAATGGCATATAAATAAGCCATTTAATTGTAGATTTTGAGCTCAGTTTCTTTTATTCAACATAATACATTTGAGATTCTTCCATACTGTTGCATGCACCAATAATTTGTTCCTTTTTATTGCTGAGTAGTATTCAATTGTGTGAGTGTGACACATTTTATCTATTCCCCAGCTGAAGGACACTTAGGTTGTTTCTAATTTTAATAAACTGAAATCTGAATAAAGCTGCTATAAACATTGCAGGTTTTTATGTAAACATAAATTTTATTTCTCTTGAGTGTATACTTGGAGAGAAGTTTCCGAATCATATGGCAAAGGTAAGGTCAATTTTATAAGAGTAAAGTACTTTTTGTTAGGGATATTAGGAAGACGTTGTTTGAGGGTGCAAACCCACAACCAGTAGACAAATAAGTCCGGGAGATATAATGCACAGCATAGTGATTATAGACAACAATACTGTATTATAAACCTCAAAGTTGCTAAGAGACTAGATCTTAGTTGTTCCCACCCCAAGAATGAATGATAATTATGTGATGTGATAGAGGTGTTAGCTAATGCTATGGTGGTAATCATACTGCTGTATATAAGTGTATCAAGTCAACACATTATATACCTTACACTTATACAATGTTGTATGTCAATTATACCTCAGTAAAGATGAGTTTTTAAAAAATAAAATACTTTTTTCTTTTTTTTAAAGACTTTTTATTTTCTTATTTGACAGAGACACAGCGAGAGAGGGAACAGAAGCAGGGGGAATGGGAGAGGGAGAAGCAGGCCTCCCACCGAGCGGGGAGCCCACGTGGGGTCCAACCCCAGGACCCTGGGCTCATGACCTGAGCCAGCAGACGTTTAATGACTGAGCCAGCCAGGTGCCCCTAAAATACTTTTTTTCTTCAAAAAAAAATCCTCGTGGTGTTTTCATTAGGATTACAATAAACTGCTGTTTTTAGGGGGAAATGACATTTTTTTAAATTTTTTTTAAAGATTTTAATTATGGGCGCCTGGGTGGCTCACATGGTTAAGCGTCTGCTTTAGGCTCAGGTCATGATCCCAGAGTCCTGGGATCGAGTCCCGCATCGGGCTCCCTGCTCCTTGGGAGCCTGCTTCTCCCTCTGCCTCTCTCTCTCTCTCTCTCTCTCTCATGAATAAATAAATAAAAATCTTAAAATAAATAAATAAATAAAAGATTTTATTTATTTGACAGAGAGAGACACAGCAAGAGAGAAAACACAAGCAGGGGGAATGGGAGAGGGAGAAGCCAGCTTCCCGCAGAGCAGGGAGCCCGATGTGGGACTCGACCCCAGGACCCCGGGATCATGACCTGAGCCAAAGGCAGACGCTTAATGACTGAGCCACCCAGGCGCCCAGGAAATGACATTTTTATGCTGTTAAAATTCCCATTCAGTAGTCTTTTCATTTATTTAAATTCTGTGTATATTTGTCCCTTAGGAGGAATTTAGAGTTTTTTCAATATTCATTAATTCAGTAAATATTTAGTGAGAGCCAATTCTGTGCCTTGAAAATTAGTACTGGGTTTGGAGATTTAAATTTGGAATTTATAGATATCACTAAGAAAGAAACAGCATGTCCCAAGTTCATACACTAAGAAAGTGTATGTAGAAAAGAGATGTAAAGAAAGTTAGTCCTAGTATAAGACAGAAGTAACCAGAAAAGAAGCTGAGAAAGATCCCCCAGTAAGGTAGAGAAAAACCAATAGACTATGATATCATGAAAGTCAAAAGAAAGGGGTGGGAGGGAGAGAAAGAGAGAGATCAGTCATGACAAATGGATAATTAACTATTGAAATTATGGCAATGGAATCATTAGTCCACACTGATCCACAGAGAAAGGCTTGGCAGGCCATCTTCATTTCTTAAATATTTGGTCATTTTGTTCAGTGCCCCTTTAAAAAAATCCATTCTTTCTCCATGATTCAGTAAGCTGTCATTATTATATCTTAAACTCTGATTCTATTTTTTTAAAGATTTTATTTATTTGAGAGAGAGAAAGCACAAGAGGAGTAGGGTCAGAGGGAGAAGCAGACTCTGCTGAGCGGGGAGCCCAACACGGAGCTCAATCCTGGAACTCCAGGATCGTGACCTGAGCCAAATGCAGATTCTTAACTAACTGAGCCACCCTGGAGCCCCTCTTTGAGTCTATCTGTGTGTTTTGTATCACAGTGGCCATCTATTTATCTACTAAAACTAGACTATTTATTAGTCATAAATATATACCTAGTGAGAAGGATCCTGCTCATAGTTCTTATTTTCTAAATGTTCTTGCTTGATTTCAAGAATGTGTTCTTTTGGATAAACTTTAAATCAATCTTCATTAGAACATAATTAATTTAGATGGATTTAGGACTAGTTGACATTTATTTTTATTATTATGTTCAATTAGCCAACATATAGTACATCATTAGTTTTTGATTCAACGATTCATTAGTTGCGTATAGCACCCAGAGCTCATCACATCACGTGCCCTCCTTAAAGCCCATCACCCAGTTACCCCGTCTCCCTACCCCCCTCCCTTTCCGCAACCCTGTTTGGTTCCCAGAGTCCAGAGTCTCTCATGGTTTGTCTCCCTCTCTGATTTCTTCCCATTCAGTTTTCCCTCCCTTCCCCTGTGGTCCTCCACACTATTCCTTATGTTCCACATATGAGTGAAACCATATGATAATTGTCTTTCTCTGCTTGACTTATTTCACTTGGCATAATCCCCTCCAGTTCCATTTCTACAGTGTCAATTTATCCTGTATAAAATATGATTTAGCCCTCTATCAATTCAAATTTTATTTTGTATTTATCAATAAAATTTTAGATCTTTAGTATGGCCTGAACACTTAGTATTAAGTCTAGCAGACTTGGCAGGTACAAAATCCATTTGTAAAATGAGCCAACAGGTAAATTAAAATGCTTAAGTTCAACCATTAGGCCAGAGAAGAGCCAGAACTCAAGCCCCTGGCCTCTTAGCATGTCCCAAGTACAACACCCTCAATATGACCTTATTGTGCTTGCCTGGCCCAGGAAGGTAGAGAGATGTCACCTGCTATGCTACTTTTTCTGTGAGCCATACTCACTGGAGCCCAACACTGCTCTAGTCTCTAAGAAATAAAGGTAAAACCTATTCCTTGCCTTGTAGCTTCATAAGTAGCCTACTGCCAGTTTGATGCTTTTGGAACTGGGCTCAGAGGGTTCATGACACTTGCCACAGGTGACACATCCTGCAAGTAAGATTTAAGAGCCTGAGCTCCCCGCGACAACAGCATTCCCTCTGAGTTAGTTTCCACTCCCTTTCTCCCCTCCTCCTGAGCCAAGATTGCATGGCGGTCCTGGGTCCACTGGCAGAACCCAAGAACAGCAGTGGAACTGGGTGTCTCAGCAGAAAGGCCAGCCTCCTCAGAAGACATCCACCTAAGAAGCATAAAAGGGCGGATGCCCCTGGGAGACGGAGAGGACTTGTGATAAAACCACTCAGGTTATCGCCTGAGTCCACCCTCCAATGACCAGGGTGACATGTAAGGGGCTGAAGGCTCTGCAACTGTGGCAAATGCGGAGTCAGCAATAGGCTACGTGGACATTTTTATCCATCCAGAGTGGAGAATCCTGGGCTTACATATATGCTATTTAATCCACACACAGAATCCCCATTTTACAGATGAGAGAATAGCCTGAGAAAGAGGAAACTGCTCGCACCTGCTCCTGATTCGGCCTGACTCCAGTCCCCACGCTCGCAATGACCACACTTGTCACCCCCCCCTGCCTTCGCCATGTCCCGGGACCTCCTGCCAGGCCTTGCACGCTCTCTGCTGAGCACACAGACACGGGGCATGCAACGCTAAGCTGCAGTTATTACAGCCAGCCTGATAGAGACAGAAGGAGGTGAGGACAGCTATGGGCATTCCAGCTTCCGGTGTGAAGAACAGAGCAGGAGGACAGAGCTCAGATCAGGCATCTGGAGCAAAGATTCATCTCCCCAACAAGGTTATGGCATACTTCAATGGGGCCACTGCTTCAGAGATGCATTGCTTGCCGATGGTGATGGTAGCCTGGGAGACAGTAAGACGAGGAGGGACAGAAGACCTGAGCGCAAGGCAGAGCGATCCATCCCCGCAGGATCCCCCTGCTCCTCCTCCTCAGGGATTCAGCTCCATCCCCAGCAAGGACCTCCGGCTGGAGAGGGAGCTGCTATCCATCAGAAGAGGATGAAAATGACTCCCCAGTCGCCCCGACACAGGTGTCAGCAGGAAGTCTGAACAACCAGCGAGGGAGGCAAGGAGATCAGAAGATTCTGGAGGGTGTGATGGAGGCTACGGGTCCATGCGAAGTCTCCTGCCCCTGAGACTCGTCTGTCAGGTGTGTGGGACCTATTGCATGTGGATGCGGACGCGGTAAACAGTCTCATGGCCCTGTGCACCTATATTAATGCAAGAAATTCTGCTTCTTCATAAACCTCTCATTTTGCAGAACCAGCACTTAGGGGAAGAGAGTGGGGAGATAGACTAATCAAAACCTACATAACTGTGCAACAAGAGCAATGACAGAAGAAGACGGTTCACCAGGGCATGTGCTGACCAGTCCTGGGGAGCGGGTGCCTGTAGCTAGAAGCTGCCTTGGGGGCCCCAGGCACCAAAAACTACAGAGTGCAACTTCTGGCTTTCGGCACTGAGACGATACAGATGGAAGTGGGACTCAGAGCCAAAGAATAGCCATCAAGGTGGGCAGTAAAACTGGCCGAAAACCAGAAGCCTTACAAGGCCAGGGAGTCCCTTCCTGAGAGGACAGTCGAAGGGCAGGTGGTCGGTTCCGACATTCCTAAAACAGAGCCGAGCACGCTCCTACACCTGCAGGAGCTGAAGTAAGGACCCTTGCTTTCCTGCCGAAAGTTAAAATTCTACTCCTGCAATGCTGGCTCCCCTAAAAATCACCTGAGTCACACACGTTCTGTGTCGCACCAATGTCAGTCCCCGATTTTCCAGCTGTAAGTAAATTGGCACGAGAGGGACACGTGCGGGAGAAGAGGCTGGATGTGCATGTGCTGTGAGGTTGCATACTCTCTGTGCTGCAGGATGGAGCAAAGTTGATGTGCTTGATTGGTTACAGCTCGTATCTGTCCGGTAGCCCCTGACTGCGCGGTCTGTTTGTACGTGCGCTATTACAATATGCTGCATGTGTGGCAGTAGGGTGGGGATGGGAAAGGACAGTAAATTACCATGACAGTCAGATCCAAGGCCTTGGCTTTGAGTCCCTTCTCATTGTAGCAATCCTGGATTTTTTCCATGGCTACTTTTTCTGGTTCAGTGGCATTGACTAGATCAAGGCAGGCGTCCAGCGGTAACTTCCCTCCAGCGGCCACGGCACCAAAGATTACATAAAAAATAGGGCAAGATTTCACTGAAGACACAAACAGAAAACACCTCAACAAAAGAAGCACCAGGGTAGGAGGTTCCTGTTTCCCCACCACTTGACAGGAATTCACCTATCCAGGGTGTTCTGACTCACCTTCCACGGAGACCTACCCACTCCCAGGACTGCTTACATCCCAGACACAGAAACCATTTTCCAGGAGGCACTCTCAGCAGAGGGGAACAGTGTGAGGCGCCCCAGACTGCACTTTGACACATACCAGCCCGCCTGCTTCTGACCTTCCGTTAAGCCCCACTACCCCCAGCAAACTCTCCCCTACTGTGTGTACAACTAAGGACCCCTCCACCTCCAAACCTCTCCCTCTAGTCCATGCCTGAAAACCTCAGGGGGTTTATGCAGGACCCCTGGGCAACGATCTCCCAGCTGCCCCCTAACTCTGTCCCTAGAAGCTACTTGGAGGTCACCATGGGGGGGTGAGGGAGTGAGACAGAGTGAGGCGAGGATCAGGAAGGCCAGCTGTCCCTCTTTCCTACTCTCACCCATCTCGATGCCCAGCTCTTGGGTCACCAGCAAGGCCAGCACAAGCAGTGTCCCCTTCATAGTGCCAACCACCAGAATGTTCTGCTCAGGGCAGCGTTTCTGCTGCTTTTTAAACCACCAGCTCCCTGAGCCTCACCCACACCCCTCCTAGGAGCTCCAAAGGCTTGTGGGCAGGGACCTGGCACATGTGACTCCTTCAGCCCTTGGGCTGAAAGCCTTCTGGAGAGGATGTCATTTTCCTTTGCCAAAGACCAACTGGAGCTCACATTTCTAAGTGACTCCACCCTGAGCCAACTGCTCTGTTGTCCCAGTCCCAATTGTGGCCCCTGTTTCCTGCTACTCCTTCCCCCCAACCTATCCTGGCTCAAAGTGCAGTACTCTCCCAATCATAGGAGGGGTCAAGGACAAGTCTATACCACTACAGGTTGACAAAGGATCATCCAGCCTTTCCTGGGCCTAAGTTTAAGTCCTGGAGATAAGTATGGGGTGCTGGGCCCAACTAGAGCCTCTTGAACACCTTAACTGCTGCAGTCTCTGGATTGAGCACCCAAGGATGGGTGGACACCATTCTTGGGCCCTGAAGCACACCCTCCCAGGGAAGTCTCAGGATTCCAATAATGCTCCAATGTACAATCATGTCACCTGCTTCCTTCTCACCCCTTCTCACCCCTGCAAATTCCTGGGCACCTTCTGGACTCCCAGTGGGTCCAGCCTTGGCCCTGACTCGCCCCCTTCTTCAGTGAACCTGGTCCCAAGAGGAGCTTGGACTTAATAGCCCAACCAGAAACATCAGTGAGTAGCTGTGGAGTTGTACAGTGTGTCGCCCGTGTCCCCTGTGAGCTTGAGCTCTACAGACCAGAGTGCGAGGTCAACCAGAGGTGGCACTCTGTCGGCTTAAAATCCTTCAAGAGTTACTCTCAAGCTTCTACTCTAGGAAAGTGGTTTATTGGCACAAACAAGATGAGACAGTCCATGAAAATTCTAGAAGGAAGCTCCCAGTGGCCAAATCTGGAACAATTTAAGAAAGAAATGACATAGTATTAGATGATAACCCAAAGCATAAAATTATATCTGTGAGTCCATACTGATGTAAATAAATGATTTAATAAATAAGAAAATGAAGAGAGAAGAGACAGATATTCCTCACAAAAGCATTCCAAATAATACACATCGATACTCTCTTCAGGAAGTGGAGCTTTTTGCCCTGTCCTCCTTGTGAGTGGGCTAGACTTAGCAACTCAATTCCAAAGAGTCCAGAAAGGGGAAAACCATGCAGAAACTTAGCAAACCCAACATTAATCAAATGATCAGGACTAATATAACCAGTGGTAAGACGTACTGATGTCACATATGCCACGATGTGATGTGACAATATAGCACTTCTCTTTGTAGTCTCCCCCAAAACCCAAGGTCTGACCCCAGTCTAAATTATGAGAAACACAGCAGACAAAATCAGTTTGGCGGACATTCTATAACACCTGGCCAGTCTTCAAGACCATCAAGGCCATGACAAACAAGGAAAGACTGAGAAATTGTCACAGATCAGAAGAGACTGGGGAGCCATGACAATTAATGCTGTTTAGGATATGGATTGGATTCTAGAACACAAAGAGGACATTAACGGACAAACTGGTGAAATCCAAATAAAGTTTGGAGTTTAGTTAGTAGTAGCATGCCAATGTCAGTTTCTTGGTTTTGACAAATCTTTGCAACTTTTCTGTAAGTCTAGAATTACCCCCAAATAAAAAGGTATTAAAAAAAAAACGACTTGCATTACTAAGGGACTGCATATACTACAAGACCTTGTCCAGAAAGTCCCCCTGACCTCAGCAAATGTCCCCGCATTCAGCGATATCTCAGATGGTTTTGTGGCGCCCAGTGGGGCTGGACGGACATCAGTGTCCTATGTCACTCCAGCACTCCAAACTCTGGCTTCATCAACTCCCAGAGCTGGGGAGAACCTGAAGGGAGTGCCTAGTGAAGGACAGCAGACATACAATCCTTGCCCAGGTGCCCCGACCACACTGAAATTCGGTCCCAGGAGAGAAAGAGCAAGCCATGTCCAATCTGGGGCATATGGTGCTCACCTTCCCAGGCTGATAAGTGCCCAAGAACCTCTGAGGGACATCCGCAGTGGCCCGAGCCTGTCATGAGATGACCTCACAAGGATGGCCTCTGGGCATCATGACTGGAGCGGCTCCATGGAAGCCACCTGACAGCTGGAGCTCAGGACTCGGCACTTCTTTACCAAGAGCAGTTACCGGATGTGAATCCTTTTTGGCATAAGGCTCTGATTGGGGTCAGAAAACTTTTGTCTTACCTTCAGCAAACTCTGTTCTGTCACAGATGACTCAGAGGAAAGGCCAGGCAGGTACCTCCAGCACGCAAGCATAAGGGAAAATGTTCTTGGTTATTATCAACTCCGCAGAAATAGGATATTCCTCTCGTTCGTCTAACAAACATTTGTGCAGGACCCGCTACGTGTCCTTGACGTGGGGTGCAGCAGTGCACACAGCAGAGCCCTCACTCTCCCGGAGCTCATTATACATCTGAGAGGAAGTGGAAGACATCAGCGGATGACAAAATGAAGCTGGGGAGAGCAGCAGGTGCTGTGGGGGAAGGGGCGGGGCTCTAAGGGGTCAAGCATGGGGGGAAGTCTCTCTGATAAAGTGACGTTTGAAGAGAGCTGAGCAATTAGGCCATGAATCCTGTACTTGGAGGAAGAGCATTCCAGGCAGCGGGGGCCGCTCATGCCAAGGCCCTGCTGCGGGAATACAATCTGGAACACAAAGCCCCCGACCACTGGCATGGTCAAGAAGCAGAAAGAAGACCAGTGAGGGAGGAGAGAATGGCAGGGAAAAATTCAGAGAGGCAGCAGGTCTTCGGTGGGGCACTGGGTGTACAAAGCACACAGGGCTTGTAGGCTGTAGAAGCAGCTCGGCTTTTCCTCGGATTGTACCTCTGGAAAGAGAACGGTGCGAACCGTATAGAGAAACTCAGAAGAAGAGGCTGGTCAGGGGAAAATGCTATTTCTGAGTCGGACGGAGGTACTGCCAGGCTAACCAGGTGACAGGACTTGCTCAGCATGGAGGGGAGGATTCAGGGCTCCAGAAACAGACCCACAGACTGGCTCAAGGGAGGCCACTGAGCAGGTCAAGGACAGAGACGATGAAGGCAGGGCAGGAGCCACCAGAGAGTGGCCTTCCTTTGGCACTTACGCTATATGAGACCATTAGCTCAGCACTGGGTTTCCTGAAAAATCCCTCAGTTGGGATCAAACGGTCTTCAAGGTCACAGGTATGAGACTGACATTGGCCATCATTCTGGAGGCCTGATTTGGGAGACTTTTTGCCCCTTTTCCCAGTCAACCTAGGAAATTTCCATTGTGAAACTTCTGGTGTCAGCTGCCACTTGGACAGAGCCCTCAGATGGGGAAGGGAGGCCAAGTTGGTGTCCTTTGTTGACTCAGGGACTTAGGATCTTGCCCATACATCCATCTCCTGCCTCCACGGCCCCCAGGCAAGTCCAAGCTGCAGCCCAGAGGGGCCTCCTGGAAAAGGATGTGTCAGGCACAGGCCCCTCCTGCCCCCTCCCCCCACCCCAGGCCGCAGCGGGTATAAAAGGGCTCCAGGCCGGGGAGGGAGCCGCTGTGGCCTGCATCATGAAGCTGGCTGGTACTCTCGAGCTTCTCTGGGCTGCCTCGCTCCTGCTCTCGGGCCGAGGTGGGCGCCTAGGGCCACGGGTTCTCCAGGGGTTCTGACGCCTTCCTAGGGCGGTTGTGAGCCTGTCGGGAGGAGGAAGGGAGGAGCGTGACCTGGGAAGGTCTTTCGACGGAGTGTCAGCTTATCTTTGTGTTCCAGATTGTAAAATTTGCTCAGCAGTGAGTGATGATGTCACCTTGTTCCTGACGGGCACCACTGAAGCATATGTCCAAGAAGTGGCGCAATACCAAAACGAATCTATAATATTGGAAAATGCCAAAAGTCTGAAGGAGTGCGTTGATGGGAAAATGACAGCGGACGACAAGACAAATGCTGTCAATGTGCTGGTGGGTCCAGCTCTATGTGTGCCTGCCTCTGGCTCCCGTCTGGGGGCCTGCTCAGGGCGGGACAGGGCAGGGCGGGGTGGGGGGCGCGCCCATTTTTCTTCTCCACCACAGACCTTCCCTGCGAATCCGGGATGAGAAAGACCTCATGGACGGGGAAGTAGAGAGGATGGTGTGGGAAAGAGTGAGCCCAGCCCTTGAGCTTTCTGGCCGGCCCTGGCTGCTCGGTGCCGCCCGGGCACCAGCCTGGGAGTCTGCAGGCCCTCCTGTGTCCTTGGCACCACCCAGCCTCAGGTGTCAGGCCCTCAGCCCCGGCCTCCCTGACTCCAGCCTCTCCAGCACGTGAGCCTGGATCTTTAAACTGTTAGCATCGGGTCCTTCCTGTCTCCACACATGGGCTCCTTTACCTTAACTCCTCAAGTTCCCTATTCCATCCCAGCTAAGACCCTCATTTGTCTTCGTTCCCTGGGTCCCAGAGATCCATTCTGTGCCTCACCTGCCAGGAGAACAGAGGGGAGGGGAGGGGAGGGGAGAAGGCAGCTTCCACAAGCCCCCCTCTGGCCCTTCCCAGGCCTGAGATGCCCTGTGTGGAAAATCACAGCGATTCCTCTCTCTGCTGTCCCAAGAGTGGGAACAAGCTACGGCTTCAAGCAGCAAGTGTCCAAGGGGCAGCAGGAGGAAGCAGAGCTGGAGACCCCCAGGTGCATCTGGAGCCCCGCCAGGACCTGCTCAGCCGCCTCTTTCCATTCTATCCACGAATGCCCCCCATCCCACTACAGTGACCCCTCTTCTTCACTCTGCTCCATTGGAGGAAGGGGCACACCTGGGATTCTCTTGTGGTGCAGGAGATTGGGAGGAACCCACCTTTGCCTGCTCAGACCCAGAAGCCATCCTCCAAACAAACCCGCAGGCTCCTCCCCAGGAAGGGTCCAGTGAGTGTTCAGAAGAGCTTGATGTCTCTCGTACCCCTTAAGGCCTCACCAGGCTTCCTGACTTTCTCTTTGCAGAATAAAATATATGCAAGTCCTTTGTGTTAACGGAGCCATCTCTTCCAGGAGCCTCAAGGATGTCACTTAACTGATCACTAACTAAGTAGTCTCAGCAGCCTACCATGTCCAGGTGTCTGAGTAAAGGATTCCAGCAATAAAAGACTTGCAATCCATGGACAGTGCTTGCTCCTTGGGCTGGGCTTTGGGGGCAGCAGGATGTCACAGTGGGGACCTCCACTGTGCCTTCCCACTGTGGCTAGATTTGAATCTGCCAGATGTTCTTCCTCCATGGAATGCCATGGGTGGGGGGGGGTGATAATTAGAAGAGCCGGGGTGGCTGAGCACTTCTGTGCCCCAGGACCCACAGGTGGCACAGGCCACCTTGCCCAGAGTGAGATCTGGCTCTTGGCCAATGGCCAGCCGCTCTGACCCCCAGGGTCTGGCTGGGGGCTGCTTCGGGGGTGGAAAACCGGCCCTGTGATAGCAACTAGAGTCCAGGGGGCATAAGCAGGTTGTGAGGCAGAGACTCCTCCCATCACAGGTGCCCCAGGATGTGTATTCCACACTCTACCATTCTACACATTTAAAAGCTCTGGGGCTTTCATAAGGAGAGCTGGGCTCTGAGAGAGATGAGTTGGATGGGGCTTCCAGTGTCATGGATAAAGACTCACCGCAGTCCGTGGCAAGTGCAGGGAGTAAGGGGCGCCCCATTGAAAGGTGAAAAGGTGATGAGTGACGGGCAGTTTGTTCTCACTGAGACACAATCAGTCTCTCGACTATTGCTCACCTCCCACAGAACCCCCTGGGGACGGCTGGTACACAAGGCATCTCGAAGTTGTCCTTGTGCACTGCCTTCTTCCAACCTGTGGAATCTTTAATCTGGGGCCAGGGTAAAAAAATCAAGTGCAGGGGCTACTGGGTATTTACCACAAAGATACAAATGTAGGGATCCGACGGGGTACGTGCACCCCGATGTTTATAGCAGCAATGTCCACAATAGCCAAACTGTGGAAAGAGCCAAGATGTCCATCGACAGATGAATGGATAAAGAAGA